TGGCGGCAGGTATGAGTTCTACTAGTCCCTGCCAAATATGAGCCCAGAGGGGCAAAGTCACACTCTTTACATCAGCAGCGCGAACATCGCCAGCTCCCAGCAGAAAGCAAAAGGAGAGCTGGAGCCTAAATAAACCCTGCCGTAAAGACTGAAATGGGTTTCACTAATCCCCTGCTTCAAATGCAAAAAAAAGGGGGGGGAAAATGTGTATGCAGAAAGCTAAAGCATTAATGCAGCCAGCATGCAAAAGTTTTACTGTCCCAACATGCTACCATAACTAAACACTTATAGAATTGTCAATAACATCCTGATAGAAAAATTTATGTACTGTGATTTTACTAGGAAATTTTCAATAACTTTACAAGGAAATTTTGTAATAATTCCTTGACATTAATTGTTTTAGTTCTATAATTTTATTAATTATGATAGCATGTTTTATAGTGGACATTGTACATATTCATGCAAAAAAAAAAAAAAAAAAAAAAAAAATACTTACCTTATACATAAACACAATTAATTTCAACCCTTAAATGGATTTGTTTGTTTAAAGTTAAATTTATTCAGTATAGGAACTTAAAAATTAATCATTTCTGCTAAAAGGGGATAGTAGAATTCAATTTCATGATGACAATTCATTAGGAAATAAAGATTTATACTGATTCTATTTTTATACTATCACACTCAATAAAGCAAGTACTATGAATTACAATTCAATTCACATTTAATATTGGTCAATTAATCACATTGTATGTGATGAGAAAGTCGACAGATGTTATTACGCAAATTTATTATTTTAATGAGCAACTTTGAGTTTACAGAAATTCTTGTCTCTGGATCACTACTTCTGATAAGAAAACAATTGTGATAGAATAGAAACCTGTTTCAGAACTTAAAGAATCAAGATTGCTATGCAAAAAATTAATTCAGAAATGCTCATAATATTCTATAGGTTATTAATTAAATTATTCAGAACTTAAAGAATCAAGATTTCTATGCAAAAAATTGATTAAAAAATGCTCATAATATTCTGTAAGTTACGTGTGGTTTCATGGATCTACATTTAAGGGTTAAAATATAAATAAATGTATACGTCATTTTTTCAAACTAGTTTATTTAAGAATTTCAACTGTCCAGTTTCCATTTCATTCACATCTACAAATTAGAAAGAATACATAAACAGTTACTATATCCAAATAAAATTACTTTCTGCAGCTCTGATAAAAAAGAGAATGAAATGTTTTCTACATTATTTACCTTCAGATTTCTGAAACAAATTCAAAAGCGTTAATATATCTAAATAAATTATTTTTTGCAGCTCTCATTCAATCAATCAATAAAAAAGATAATGAATTCTCTTCTAAATTATTTCCCTTCAGATTTCTGAAACAAATTCAAAAGCATATCGCATTATATTAACTTCAATCAATACTTATTAACATTCCAAATAAAAAACAGAGACCTGAAATAAACAATACCCAAAATAAATAACACTGAATTAAACATATAAATAATACTTAACAATTTCAGAATTTTATTCTGAAATCAAAACTGTGTTATTCACTTCAAAAAGTACCAAATATATTCTCTAAAGGTTAAATGTCATTAAATATACAGAGATAAATTAGTGAAACATACAGTATTAAGAATAAAATGTACAATTACATTCATACAGATTACACATTAATGGGAAAAACACAAGCACCTGCATATAAATATTATGACTCAATGAATTTCACAAAAATTTTAAATCCTTTATGATGCAAATATCTTCATAACATCCCTGAAACATAAATAATGATCACATAAATCGCACACATCATTTAATAATATACCAATTTTCCTCAACACATACTTTAATTTCATAACACGCATAACGGAACTCTCTCCTATACACATACAAAGTACATATATTAAATTAAACACATAAAAAATAATATACATTTGAATAAAATGGATATAGATACGCCTCAGATCCCTGACTAAAATTACGATCCATGAAATACAAGCATACAAAATGGAAATTACATTCTGGAAACAAATGCCAGTTCTTATCAACACACCACTTTCATTTAGTAGTGTGCATACTCTCTGCTGTACAATTTACATGCACAAACTAAATTCAATCTAATAAACCCATCAAACCACAATATTAAAATAATCTGGTAAAAAAAAAAAAAAAAAAAAAAAATATATATATATAGATATATATATATAACACAGATATTACACACATCCTTTCATAACAAACAAAAACTAATCTTTTCTCAACACATAAATGAATATCATAATATGCATAAGATTACATTCATTTCATTATATGGGTAAGAGTACTTTCTCTTCTTTGCAGAATTACATAACACCACAAACAACAGCCCTCACACCAAAGTACAAAAACAGAAATTATACACATCATTTCCTAAAAAAACAAATCATACTTTTCTTTTATCAAACACATTCTATTCATAATACGTATAAAAGTACTCTCTCCTATATTACAATCACACAACATCCCTCAAAAAATTTATAAGGAACATAGAAATTAAACACTTCATTTCATTATACGGATAAGAGTACTTTGTCTTCTATGCAGAATTACATAGCCCCACACACAAAGCACGAAAACAGAAATTATACACATCATTTCCTGAAAAACAAATAATACTTTTTTTTAATCACACACATTCTATTCATAATTCGTATAAAAGTACTCTCTCCTATATTACAATCACACAACATCCCTCAAAAAATTAATACGGAACATAGAAATTAAACACTTCATTTCATTACATGGATAAGAGTACTTTGTCTTCTATGGAGAATTACATAACCCCACACACAACAACCCTCTAACGGAACTATGAAAAGAAATTATACACATTTCCTAAAAGCAAATAATACAATAAATAATAAAAGAAAACTTTTATCACACACAATCAATTCATAATTCGTATAAAAGTACTCTCTCCTATACTACAATCACACAACATACCTGAAAAAATTAATACGGAACATAGAAATTAAACACTTCATTTCATTATACGGATAAGAGTACTTTGTCTTCTATGCAGAATTACATAGCCCCACACACAAAGCACAAAAACAGAAATTATACACATCATTTCCTAAAAAACAAATAATATTTTTTTTATCACACACATTCATTTCATAATTCGTATTAAAGTACTTTCTCCTATATTAAAATAACACAACATCCCTCAAACACCAGATACATTTATTCCTATACAGAATACACACACATGCAAAGTGCATATAATGAACACATCACACACACATAAAAAATATCTACAAAACTCATTTTGTAACATTCCTGAAAAAGAAATGTTAACACATGGGAAAAATATTTATACATTTACAAGAAAAAAAAAAAAGAAGGAATTACATTATAAAAGACACTTATCAATTAAATAATGGAGGAAATCAAATTGCTAAAATATGTTGGGAATAATTGGTCAAAAAATGGAAAGTCAGGCAGCAAGTAATCCACTTTCAACATAACTCTTACTCCTGAAACAATGTACTAACTCAGATGTTTCTTGAAACAAGGAACCTACAATGAACTCTACCTTTTCCCCTGTTGGATAATCAAAATACAAAAATGTCCAATAATATTTCAAAAAGAGCCGCCCATTCTCATTCCCAGGAATTGCTGATTTCCTTAGGTTTTCAACAGTTCCTCTACCCTCCTCATTAAATAAAAATACTAATAAAAAAATAACAGTCCACAGACAAATGTTTACTTTATTGGATACATTTCAAATTACGCAAATAAGAAGTTTACAGCGCTTGCGCCAGAACATATTTTTTTTTAATCCTGAACCTTATCCCTGAACAAACATTAAACACAGAAAATTCCACAAACAACATAAAAAAGAAGGAGGGAAGTAATAGGATGATCAGAGATAAACATCATTAGCCATCTCTTAGAACTTTGTTTATGATTCTTTTCAGATCATGACAGCTCATTATACACATTTCTTTGCCCTACTGGGATATTTATTCTAATTCATTTCCTCTTATTTCCCTTATTATAAACATTCCTAGTCTATTTTTTCAGTTATTTATTTCTAGCTAACATTTCCATCCTAATCAATATGTCTCATAAAAGATACTTTATTACTTACATGTCAAATACAGATGAAAATAAATGTTTCATATTTTCATAAATAGCCCACACTGGGATATTTACTTTACTTCATTTCCTCTTATTGTTCCTATTACAAACATTCCTAGTCTATTTTTTAAGTCATTTATTTCTAGCTAACATTTCCATCCTAATCAATATGTCTCATGAAATATACTTTATTACTTACATGTCAAATACAGATGAAAATAAATATTGAATAGTTTCATTAATATATTTATTTTAATACCTTGTAGGATATCTTTCAGACTGTGATTCAAACAAATTAGCTGTTACTCAGATAGATATGGAATTTCATTTTTTTATTATCCTAATAGCAGTTATCAAGTCATTTTTTTATTAGATATGTGCCTATATATAACATTTTTATCATAAGTTTCTGATAAACTATCAATAGGATTGAGGTAGGGTGAGTGAGGAGGAAAATTCATAAAATTTGTGGTGTTCTATAATATACTGAGCCTTTTATTTTGGCCTGTATGATTTGCTTCATTACCATTCAAGGACACAAATCTATCCGAAATAATTTCTGTCATGCTAAATCATAAATTCACACACAGTCATTTCTATAACACTAGAGGATAAATCTGCTAACATTTTCAAAATATTTTCTAAACCACAGATTGCCTACATTTTTCGGAGTCTGAAATATTAAACTCAAACAAATTTCACTTTTCTATTTTTTTTAACGTTTTTTAAATCCTACACATATAAATTTCTGCATTACAGATTTCATTAACTGTATTTCCTGCATATATTTAATGCATTGACATAAAAATTAGTATTTAGTCATTAAAAAACAAATAAAAAAAACACAAAAAATAACACAAACACAATATCCATTTATATATATTTTTTTATTTTTAAAGCTTGTTAAAGATGAGTCTTTACAAATATCAATAATAGCAGGCAGGGGAATTCACATAACAAACAATTGGTTTTAAACAAAACTGATCTATTGGATGTCACCATATGTTTACTGAACTATGAATACAGGTCATTTTTCATTACAAAGTGATACACAGAAGCATCTTTCTTCTTTTTCTGACTTTCTTTATTTTCCTAGAATGAATTAAACAAATTAATTAGCATGTGAAACATAAATTTAGGAACAACAAATTAAAAAAAAAAAAGAAAAATAGCATCTGAATTAATTCAAAATAAATGACAAATAATTCAGATCTTAATTTTTTAAAATTTATTTATTTAATTTTATTTTGTAATATTTCGATTCACATGCAATGGACTGCATGGCGATGACAAGAGGGTACAGTTCTCCCTGACACATTACATATCTAGCATTATTTTATGAATGATTTCATTAACAGCAAACCATCATCATGAAGATTTGCAAGAATGTAATGGTAAGGTACTATGCAGAGTGAAATGATATTCAGTGATATAACTCGCTTCTGCTTCACAAATGATTAAGCCATGCAGCAGCAATATTTTATTCTGTACCTTCAAGGCATCCTAACGGCCACTTTCAAACAATACTAATATATCGAAATACTGCAATGAAAACGAACACATGTCAAAAAATTTATGCAAAATTTATTGGTTTATTGTCAACAATTTTTCTAATACTAAATTTTTTTAAATAAAATATTTCAGAAATTATGACATTAATTAGAGGTCACATAAATATTCAATATGAGCCCTGTTCATAAACAATTATAAATTACCACTAGAAACACACAAGTAAACGAGTTGGTTTTTTAATCAAAATGCACAAGTTAACTATTGTTTGCAAATATAACCATAATCTGACATCATAAAATGAAATAGATAGTATTAGAGATTTCTTAATCAGACTCACAAAATGAAATATTCTATAATGATATCTCAAACTAAAACATTTAAAACACAAGTTCTTTATGGAGTGTGTTTCATCAGATTTAAGAAAATAACATGTGATGTAACCGCTATTGTGAAATAGTCACAGCCACATTCTTTATTATTTACTATTAATTTAGTTTTATAATGAGATAAAATGAAAAACCAACAGAGATAGATAACATTGATAATTAATTTACCTTAAAACTGTCGTAACTTTTGCGAAAATAACATGATGTAATTTCTATTGTAAAAGATTGACAGTAATAATGTTAAATAGTGCCTTCTTTACTATATAACCTTCATTTTGTTTACAATTACAAAACTACACATGAATAAACAAAAAATTTTATTTTAACATTTAATTTTCTTTAACATTGTCGTAACATGATGTGTATGTTTCTATAAATACTATTACTGATCTTTAACTATTAGTAACTTATACTATTAGTAACTGAAGAAAATTTCCTTTGAAACACATTTATTATATATATCTATCAATGATATTTTTTTAAAGAAACTTATTTGCACAGGTACACCAATTTCATACTATGTACTTACTGTCACAAAAGAATACATACATTCATCAAACAACTTAGATTTGCATACCTACCAATGTATAAATAGGTAACTAAATGCAATGAATAAACTTCTGAGACATTAATTTATATCTAATCAAGAAAATATACCACAATTATTTAAGTTTCCACAATATATTAGAAAAACTCACACTTGACATGCGACAAAAGCCTAAATAGAAAAAGAAAAATACAGCATTTACTCTCCTCAAATGAATAAAAAAATAAAGTTAATAGCTTGTGCATCCACCTTTTTAAACCTCTACCCAGTAGCAGCTCACGGGTTAGTTCTTTCTTACAATGGAACATAATAGAACATAATACTGGCTACAATAATTAGAAATGGTCTATTTTTTACCATGCATTTAATTAACTGTTCCCTATATTCATGCAGTAATAATTCGAATCTCAAAATTCCATCTAGTAGCTGAGCAATGAGGTATCCTATGTCTAACAATTTTATCTACAATAGCAAAAGCTCTGTGGACAAAAAAATCAAACAAAAATTTAGTTATATTAACTCAGGTTGCAAAGAAGAAATTAAAGCCTAAAAAGATGAATTTAAAGGCATTTAAAATTAAGCTATTAAATTTTTATTGCCATTTTGCACAACCTATTTGTGTGAATAAGTATTTTCCTTTATGATATGCTTGACAAAGAAATGCAGAACAAAATTAAAAGTGGATCCAGATTTCTGGATAAAACTATGTGAAATAAGGCCAGACATAAAGAAATTGATCTCAATTAAAATTAAAACACATTACGCATGGTTAAACACATGCGCATAGTGTGTTTACGCATGCATGTTTAACGTCAAATGGACGGTATAAGCTACACTAAAATTATCTTTACTGATTATAAGGCATTTCAATTAATGTTACAGATTGCACTGTTCATTAATCTTCTAATTGGATTCGAGTTATTATTTTGGACAGACAGTTAGGGCAATTTTGTAAAAATTCAGCTTAAACTTTTGATTATGTCAAAAAGAGTTTCCAATTCTGGAGCTGCCAAAGGATGTACAAAGAGAAACCGTGTTTCGATGTCCATAAAAAAAAAGGGGAATTCCTGCAAAAAATGGATAAAGGAAAAAGGCATATCCGCCTCAAATTGATGCGAGGAGTATGGCATTAGATGACACAAGAAAAAAGAAAAAGGAATTTTTTTGATTTTTTGGTGGAAGCATCTTAAACAACTTACATTTAAAGAAATATTTATTAAAGTACACAAACATTAAGCTTTTTCTTTCTTTCTTTCTTTTTTTTTTTTTTTTGTAAATTTTGATACCCATTACATCATAATTGCTCTTTATTTCATAAATTACGGTTAAATATTTTTATTTATATAATTTCTGCATGCCATCTTACCAGATTTAAATTGATGATCTAAAATCCGGAAAAAACCATAATCCAGAATCGCCGAAGTTCTGACTTTGTACTGTATTCCTATTCACAAACTGATAAATGGTCAATGTAAGATGTAGTGGTGGTACTGAAGTTTTTCAATTTTTATTTACATGGTACGTACTACTGAAAAGGTGAAGAATGCTGATCTATGCTATAGAGAATCTTAAATGATGATGCTAAGTTAAAGCTATAGATTGCCATAATCAAATAAAATAATTGCAAAATTTAAAGACCATTAGTCATTTCAAAGCACAGCTTGTCGTTTGGAAAATTAATTCTTCCGATACGCCCAGTTTCGGAAAATATAATAAATGGTAGTACCAGAAATGCAGTGTATAAACAAATGAAATAATTTGCTTAAGGATGAAAAATTTCTCGTTTGCAAGTGTGATTTGACTTCAAGATTGCTGTTTGCTTTTTTACTCTATTCGGTTTCAGACCAAGAACATTCAAAATGTAAAATATAAACTAAAAGATCATTTAGTGTATGTAGATTGGAAACACTAATATCATAGTAAAAATATTATAATATGGAACTCGACGTCTAAATGCATAATACAGTACAAAGTACGAGATGTGGATATCCAAAATCCAGAATGATATCACATTCAGACGTTGAAATCGACAACAATTTTCTTTTTCAATGCTTTACGCATGCATACACATTTAATTTTTTCCCCTGTACATTCCTGATTTTTAATTTCCCTTCGGCACTAAGGAAATACCTTCTTATTGAGGAAACAATAATTTACCAAAAATTTGTGTGATCAATAATTTCGCTCTGTTGCTGCATATCTCCGTAGCAGACATCTCAAACCATAACAAGCAAACATTCCTATTTTTATAAATACTATTAGTTTATACCATTATGAGGACCTGGCAAATCATTATTTATTACATTTTTCTTTCGTCACCAAATGTTTATAAAAATATGACAACTTGACTAATGAATCATGCAGCAATGACCAAACAATGTGTTTTATATTAGCAAAAAAAGTGTTGTAACCTTTTATGTTAAAATTATTACGCCTGGCAGCGATTACAAATTAAAGTCAAATGCGCTAAGAAATATAAACGAGAAAAAATTTATATCCATATGCTAAAAAGATTTTTTTAAATAAGTGCTAAGTTTAATTTAGAGCTATTTTAATTAAGATTATCTGATCTGTTTTTCACATAAACCCAGAACTGGCGCCAGTGCTTGTATGGACGCATGGGGCGGCATAATTTAGGGAAGACACTATTTAGGGAATATAGGGAAGCACCGAGCAAAAAAATTAAAGCATGAAATTATTTTTAGAATTTAGGGAAAGCACTAGGATCCAAAATTTATTTCAAATTCAAACTGTCGAACGAAAACTGAAGTCAGAGTTGACCTCTTTGTAGAGACTCCAGCTATGAATCCTTTTATCACAAAATCTGCCCAACTCCGATTCCAACTCCACAGACCTGTTTTAATTTTATAATTTGCACATGCCATCTTACAAGCTTTAAACTGGTTATCTAATATCCGAAATCGGCGAAGTCCTGGTGAGTCCAGATCTCTGTATAGGACTTTGTACTGTATAGTAATTTTGTATTACTAACATTTATTTTTCTCACTCATCTTCCAAACTGTTTACAAATCAAAAAACAAGAAGATTAAGTATTTATACACAAATTTCCTTTTACGTTTCGTCTCTTAACTGCTGGACAATTTATTTTATTTTTTTAACATGCTAAATATTTTTACTTCTGATGTTGTAAACAAAATATCCTACATATCAAATATTCATGATGATCCTCATAAGTTGCTTAACATTATATTCATTTCAGATACTAAGTTAAATTAACATTTCAAACAGCTGATACATGATTCTTCATAACTAACTTTAGACTAATATAAGGATCTTTCGTGAAAAGAAATAATGAACACTGTTGTTTATCCATGTAACAGAGAACCTCGCGAAATAACTACATGGGAAATGATAAATTAATTTGGAAAGGGAATTTTTATTTATATAAAGGTCATTTAAATGAAAGAGGCATTGCTGAAAGAATTCTATTTGAAGAGAAAGATGAGTGTGTATGCCCCTACAGAGTACATGCGATCATCAAATCCCACAAGATGTGTGTGTGATAGTGTTGGAGTACGTTAAAAGGCATGGTTTGCATCATGGATGCCTCCAAACATTGACAACGCGCAATCGTACAATTTTTAATCAGCGGCAAACATGAGCGGTTCTGAAATCTATCATCGAAT